AATCTTAGAAAGCTGAAGCAATATCGAGATTTTGGTTTCGGTCGAGCAAAATGGAGGAAGGGCATGAGGAATCTGGTTTAGACGAACGGAGTCGCGACGGTGGATTTTCTGTTGCGAGCGAGTGTTTTTTCTTGGATCATGTTGGAGAAGTTCTGCTTTCTCGGAATCCAGATGGGTTGTCTTGGAAATGTTTGGATTCTTCAGATTGTGTAAGATTTGTCGATAATGGCATTTGGAAATGTCTGATTCTCCTCAGACGACTCTTTTTGTGCATTAATTGTACTGTTGTATCTTAACAGGAGGGAGCGACTTGTTTGGGAATTAGAAATTCAGAGAATTTCGAAACTGAGATCAAATTCTCTGATATTTATGCTGTGGAGTTTGCTAACTTTGGCTTGGTTCATAGTCCAAAGTCAGGACTTGTACATGCCAAAGAATGTTTCAGGGAGCGCTTGTTGAATACTCAAGAGGTTTTTTTTTTTTGTTTGCTCTCTCACACTTCTCCTATCGTTTTTGTTGTTTTGCTTCTAGTGATTACAGTGTAATGGGTTTGGTTTGTTGTAGATGCATCGGTTCACTGTGCACGGACTGCAAAAATCACCAAAGGAGCCTTGTCTTTGGAAACTTGCCGCATTCACTTTTGGCCATATGGACTTGCAGACGTGCCAGAGTTGGATGGATCATTTGAATTACTTTTTGATCAAGGAAGTCGAAAGACCGAGAAATCTCCTGGTAAATCTTATCCTGTCAGGTTCTAGTACTTTGTTGCTCCTGTTTGTATGAATGATTTGATAAGATTGATTGCCATTTCTTTAGGTATTCGTCCATCCAAAAAGTGGCAAAGGAAATGGCTCCAAGGTCTGGGAAACTGTTTCCAAGATTTTCATTCGTGCTAAAGTTAATACAAAGGTCTGCTTTTAATTTCAACACTAGCTGAATGACCGACCATTAGTAATTATTTTTGTGAGAGTTGTTATAGGGTATTCTTTGATGGCAAAAGGCACATGGAATTTTTTTTCTCAGAGCAACTGATTTGATTTTGTGCTAGAGTAGAGCATTTAGGGACCAAATATTATTTGTCATGTAATGTTCTTCTTTCTCGTTTATCAAGGTCAATAGTTATTGGTTGATTATTCTCTGGTCATTATTTGCAGCGAATTGGCGCACATAAAGTGTTTTAGTAGTTTTTGCAATATGACTTCCACATTATTTTCCTTTTGAGATGTTGTTTCGCCGTTTTTTGGCCAAATGAGACTTTATTTGTCTACATAGTTTCTTGTGATACTATAGCTTTCATAGAGAAAACACACGAGTTTTTTCTTACTGTCCATGCTAAGGTCCTTAGTTTGATATTCTTGCTTTACCATTTAAATCAGGTGATTGTAACAGAACGAGCAGGACATGCATTTGATGTAATGGCATCTATCCAAAACAACGAGCTCCATTCATATGATGGCATCATAGCCGTTGTAAGTTGTAGACCTCTTTTTCTATGTTTTGTTGACCCCAAGTACTTGGTTTGACAATGATTCGGTCAGTGAATTTGTGAAATATTTTCGTAAAGTGACATAACCTTTAATTCATAACATTTATGATTCAAGTTATGGATTAGTGAAAGTTGATGAAGCTTCTCCACTCCTGATATTTATTGTCACATTTTCTTCCTCATAGTGCTACTTGTGGCCTTGTGGATCATATATCTGCTTTGCATGATATGCTTGTCATTACTTTTATCACTTGAAAAATCAACCTATGTTCAGGGTGGGGATGGCTTCTTCAATGAAATTATTAATGGATATCTTTTGTCGAGACTTAAAGTCCCTCTTCCACCAAGTCCTTCAGATTCCTTCGGTTCTGTTCAAAGTAGAGGTAGCTCCTCAGTTCCAGAATCAGAAGATGCAGTTCATGAAACTGACCAGAAGGAACACTATCCTCTTCTTCCTGATTCAGTCCAAGAGGGCATGAATTTCAGTATGTATTTGATCACTTTTATCTCATCTTTGTTCAAGCGCTGGGACTGTTAACTGGC